GCAATTCCAGACGAAGCGCAAAACCGTGGACTTTATAAAAGTACTGCAAGTTGCTGTTTTGTTGCCAACTCGCATTTCCATGGATTTTGACGTGTGGCCCTTCCTGATGAATGTCATGGGGTGGACTGGCGAACAAGTACAGGTTGTGCGGCAGACATTTCACCGCAGGAATGTTCCAGTGTGATCTGCAGGCAGAGTTAACGCAAGTAGTATTTGTAAGCGAAACTGTCTTGGAAGCAAGAGCAATCTTTCTACTGGATTAAAAGAGATGGCTTCACAAGCCTCCTTGTTTACAGTGGGATAAGACCACTATGTCACTGGTAGTTTTTTTTTTTTGCCTCATTTTGAATTGCGGGACATGGCACTGCGCATACCTGGAAATTGTGACGTAAAACCTGTGATTTACAGGTTACTGTGGCCTGTCATTGTGGTTTGAAATGTGCTTGGCAGTGCTGATTGTTTCTATCCCTGGAATATGAAAGTAGTGTTGCAGTTTCCCTTTAATGGAAGCCATGAGCAAGGAAATCTCAGTCTTGAACAATGGAAAACGACATTGGGGACACTCGGGGCACCCCCACTGCAAGGGGTCAGGTACACTCTGAGGGGCGGAACGATTTTTATGTTTACGATTTGGGATTTTGGAGGCTGGAAGTATATTCTTCTAGAGGGGTGGGGAAAAAGATGGTTAACTTGTAATGACTTTACAAGTCCTGGAATAAAGAGATCACTTTTTTTGGGAAGCAGCTGTGCGGATGTTGATGGAATGTAACTTTCTAACGTTGTTATTCAAACATCAAAAATACATTTAATATAAAAAGTACTAAACTTTTATACTTGTTACTTATACATTGCAGCAATGTGACAAGTGGTACTTTTGGAGCCTTGATGTGAATAACAATTACTGTAGTCATGCACCAATATGGTAGGAATATTGAGCTGGTGGTCCTTCTAGTACAATCCCCTGAGACATCCAGCTCCTCATTTCTGTAAATGAGCTTTTATTAATTAACCAGGAG